CATAGAATTCATTGGATTCATTCTTTTTAAAATTTTTATTTAGTACAGGTCTACAGGGTCTTACTATGAAGGTCCGACTCATAGTGATCCTCCTGTTTTCAGCCTCCCAGGTGCTGGGATTATAGGCATGAGCCACCACACCCAGTCTCAATCCCAGTCTCAGTGCACCCCATATGCAGGGCTGGCACTGCATGCCCAGAATCGAACCCTGGCCACTGCACTTTGCCTAAGCAGATGCTTTAGTCCACTGAGCTATCTGGCCAGCCCTGGATTCATTCTTTTTTTTTTCCTTTTAATTTAGTTTTGTATTCATTTTAATGAGAAAAAAAGATAAAATAGGTATGAAACAGTTTCAAAATAGGTTAGTATGACAGTTACAATAGTTAGTACATTGCATATTGTTGTTAATTCTTAATGCAACTCTCTGATGACCAAAATTTTCAGGGTGTGTGTGTGTGTGTGTCTGAGAGGGAGAGGAACAAGAGTCTAATTGTGGGCCAGAGTATGTAGTTCAGTGGTAAAACATTTACCCAGTATGTGTGGGACCCTGGGTTCAATTCTCAGTTCCCACCATCCTGACTTGTTCTCAGAGCAGGGGCTTGTGGGTGAGAAGAGAACCTTCCCAGGGGTCACTTAGAGAAAGGTGGCTAAGGCTACGGCCATGGCTGTCCTCCTGCCTTCATTTCCAGAGGACAACACAGGGATCCTATTGGACGATGGTGACAAACACACATATGCACATACACACGCACATATGTGTGCACACACTCATGCACACACACACACACACACATACACACACACAGAAGAGCCTGGGAATGTGAGAGAATGATCATTTATATACCTTGAATAAGTGCGTTTGAGGGTCTGAAGCCAAGTGAAGTAGATAAATTGATGTAAAATTACATGCAACATTCTATGTGCTTATTTTGTTTGATATACGCACCAAGGTGTTTATATTCTGGCTTGCTAGAAATGTCACGGATTTAAATAGTCATAAAATTTTAAATTCATAGGGCCCACCAAATAGCTCAGTGGATTAAAGTGCTTGCAAGCAGGTTCAGGGGCCAGGGGTTTGATTCCCTGGCCTCCTGTGCAACCCCGCTCTCAGGGCGTGCAGAGATGACAATTGAGACTGGGCATGGTGGTGCATGCCTGTAATCCCAGCACTTGGGAGGCTGTAAACAGGAAAATCACTATGAGTCTAATCTAGTAGTGAGACCCTGAACACCCTGTAGACCCTGCCCTAAAAAAAATTAAGTTCATAGATCATACTTTTTCATCCATATTCCAGACCTGAATGAAAAAACCAGTGCCTTCATGATGCCTGTTTGCATGTCTAGTCTACCGATACACACACACACACACACACACACACACACACACACACACACACACACATCTAAAACGTAGCCCTGGGTCCATCCCAGCTGGCTTACCCTCCACCTCTTCCTGTCCCTCAATGGCACTGCTGGCCCACGACATGGCTCAGTCCTGGGGCCTGTGGATGTGCAGTTCCTGAAGTCCCAAGTCTCCTTCCTTTCCACTCAGTCTCTCCACATTACCTTGGCTGTTGCAAGTCACCAAATGCCCTCCCCAGCTTCCTGAAGTTTCCTGGTCTTTTGCTGCTGCTTTTAGCTCTATGTCACTCCTCTCCATTTCCTCCTCAAGACCGTCCCCTTTGCCTCTTCTTTAGCCACACCTTGCACACAATCTTTAAGCTCTGAACTTGTCTCCTGCTGCTTCTTGACACGGCTGATCACACTCATCCTTGAACTCTCAACTGAAATACTCCTTCAGAGGGTGCTTCCTAACTCCACCAACCACCCTCTTAAGGCTGAATCTTGAGGCTCTTTATTCACATAGCATCCCATTGATTCTCTTCAAAACATTTATGATAATATGCAATATGAAATATTTTCTTTATTCTTAGGATAAAAATTTCTGCCTGGAATTTTACATTTAAGGTTATAAAAGCAAGTATTTTGTCTCGATTATTATGAAATTCTTAGCACCTACCACCATACTGGCACTAGTAGCTGCTCAATGAATGCTAGTTTAGTACATGAACGACTTGGTGTGATTACTGCAGACACCCAAGTCCGAGTACAGCAAGGAGGTGATCTTCTGGTGTGAGACTGGTGTTCAGTGGATGATGCTGCGAAAATGATCAGCAGGTGCAGGATACAGCCACTGTCACAAAAGGAGCTGAGCTTCCTTTTTCTTCCTTCACCTGGGAAGCAGCCCCTCCACAGAGGTGACCAAGTTCCTCCTTCCTGTGTGGTTAGGAGGAAAGATCTGGCCATAGGGTTTCTTTTAAGCAAGACACATTCTGTTTTCCAAAAGAACTAAAAACAGCACTCTGATTCCTGACTTTGCTGATGGCTTTCCCCTCCCATGGGAACCTCTCATGTGTGAGGAAACCTTCCTCGGGGCACAGCTTGATACTTGATGTGAAGGTGACTTCCAGTGGCATCTCTGCCTGTAGGTAAGTTCTCATTGCTGGGAGCCTGAGGCTGGGCTGTGCACCTCCCTGGCAGGATGCAGGTTCCTTCCCAGGCCTCTTGGTTTAGTAGTTACTCACTTAGTTGACAACTTCTTGGATAAACATGGCAGCCAAGAAAACCAACACGCAAGTGAATGATTCATTTCAAAGTTTGAAAACAAAAACTCAAATGTTCACAGGCAAGTGTATTTACAATACACAAAATTGTCACAGAAAATTGGACAAGGGTACAAGAGTGTCTCCTCTATTGTATTTTTGTTGTTGCTCTCCTTGCTTTCCTTTCCTTTCCCTGTGTGTGTGTGTGTGTGTGTGTGTGTGTGTGAATGAAGCAACTTTTGTTTGAAGTCTAAATCACTTAATTACACAGTCTGTAAGTGCGAAAACTGTTGACTGGGTGAACGCAGTATATTTGTTTTGTCCCCTTTCACAGAAATGTGCTTGGTGAATGGAGGGATCAGTGCAGAGAAAGGCAGCAGAGGGAGAGGGCAAGGGAGAGCTGGGGGTACAGTGTGTTGGGAGGCCCAGGTGCATGTGCTCACCACCGGAGCTCCCCCCTGCAGGCCCAGCAGCCTCAGCACTCACCCCAGGCAGCAAACGCTGCTAAGAACCACCGTGATCTTAAAGGCTGTGTGCAGTGCAAACAGCTTTTCTAGGGCGCATCTGTGGCTGCAGGGTACCTCCGTGGGCTGCTCGTCATTGTGCTCAGTGAACTTTTATTAAGGTACAAATATCTGCACAAACGCAGCTTTCAGCCAGTTCATGTTGGTCATAGCCAGCTGGGGGTGGGGGGTGGGGGAGAGGGCTGAGATTCTAGAAGCAAATCCCAGCCAACCTGGAAGCAACAGTCAGAAAAGGTTGGGTTCTCCTCCACCAGACCCCCCCCCCCCCCCCCCCGTGAGGAAAGACAATGTCTCTGGCACAGGTGGGTGGAAAGCCCTTCCTAGCTGTGTCCTCCCAGAGATTTAGGGACAGCATCGCCTGGTCACTAACCACAACCTCAGCCCTGCCCTACCCAAATATTGCTGAATGAGCCCTCCATGGAGTGCGGCCTGGGGCAGAGGCCACACTTCTATTTGCTCCTCATGACACTCCTCGCTTCTGGCTGGCGGATGGCGCACACCATACCAGATGCTCAGGAGGCCTAGCGGTAGCCATTGAAATCAAGACTTCCAAAATCGTATCTATCTGCTCTCATCCTTCCCTCCCTCTAAGCAGAAGTTCCAGGTGCTTTCCCCGGGAGGCTGGCAGTTATGTGCCCAGGCTGCCTGTCCCTGCACCAGGACAGGTCCATGGGATGGTCCTCATCTTTCAGGTCTAGGACTTCCTGAAAGAAGGAAAAACTTCATGTGGAAAAGGTGCTGGGAGGCTTTCGGGGGCCCTGCAGACCGTCACTGCCATGCTAGGAAGTTGCTGCGAGGCCTTCAACTTTGCAACTGAAAATTCGGGGGTTGGGGGGGTGGGAGGGGCAGCTTGTGGTACATGGATTGCTTTAGAAAACCATCTAATTGGGAAGCTCTCCAGAAGTTTCCAAAGATGCTATCCCCTCCTTGAAGCAGGCAAATGGTTTGCTGCAAATACAGAATCATACCCAGATTTAATTTTTTCACCAAATGTTTGGATGTGTGGCAGTAGTGGTCTCTGTGGCCTGTAGTGGCAGGGGTGAATTTGGAGGTGGCAGGATGGGATTGCCTGTGGATGAAGCACACTGCGCAGGTCAGCTCAGTACACAGAGACAGGCCAACTGCGGAGCTCAGGGGGTGTGGTATTAGGGTGCGGGTGTGCGTTTAAGGGGGTGAACAAGAGTGTGTGCCAGCCAGAGGCGCGCCAGGAGAGCGCGGGAAAGGCTGCGGGAGGCGAGTGCGCTCTGCTGTGTGGGGTTTGCTGCGGCCCCCAGCGGGGTAAGGGGTGTGCCGTGGGCGTGCAGTGGGAGGGGGCAGCGGGCGTGGCCTGCTACGTCACGGGGAGGGTGTGTCGGGAAGGACCCGCAGAGCCGAGCCAGCGGCGCCCGCAGGAGCCTCGCGGGCGGGGAAGTGGGTCCCGCGCTCCGGCGCCGGGGCAACCCTAGGTCCTCTGTGCGCCTTGGAACCACTGCCTGGGGGGAGGTGGCGGAGGTGGTAGCTGGAGCCGCGACCTCTGCCGGACCAAGCCCTGTGGTGGACGCAAGGCGGAGGCCGAGCCGGCCGGCGGGAGGCGCATCTGGCGCTGGGCACCAAGGGCCGCCGGGGTCTGTAGTCTGGAGCTGCGGGAGGAGCGCTGCAGGAGCTGGGGTGCTGCGCGGACCACGGCGGGAGCCGGGCTGGAAACGGCAAGAGGCGCGGCCACGTCTTCCCGGGGGCGGGTTTTGCGCTCCAGCTTGCCGTTCGGGCGTCTGGGGGCTCCGCACAGCGGCGTGGGGGCCCGCAGCGCAGGGTCACCTCCTCTGCCCCAGGTCACCGCCCACCCCAGCCCCACCCTAGCGGCGCCAGGTTAGGGCGCGCCGGGAGAGCCTGTGGACATGCGGTCGGAGAAGTCCCTCGCGCTGGCGGCGCCGGCGGAGGCCAGGGGCCCGGACGGGGAGCCGCAGGACGCCGCAGACTTCCCGGAGGCCGGCGGCGCCGGGGGCTGCTGCAGCAGCGAGCGGCTGGTCATCAACATCTCCGGGCTACGCTTCGAGACGCAGCTGCGCACCTTGTCGCTGTTCCCTGACACGCTCCTGGGGGACCCGGGACGCCGCGTCCGCTTCTTCGACCCGCTTCGCAATGAGTACTTCTTTGACCGTCACCGGCCCAGCTTCGACGCCATCCTCTACTACTACCAGTCGGGGGGCCGCCTGCGCAGGCCGGTCAACGTGCCCCTGGACATCTTCCAGGAGGAGATCCGCTTCTACCAGCTGGGGGACGAAGCCCTGGCTGCATTCCGGGAGGACGAAGGCTGCCTGCCGGAAGCGGGCGAGGATGAGAAGCCGCTGCCCTCCCAGCCCTTCCAGCGCCAGGTGTGGCTGCTCTTCGAGTACCCGGAGAGCTCGGGCCCTGCCAGGGGCATCGCCATCGTCTCCGTGCTGGTCATCCTCATCTCCATCGTCATCTTCTGCTTGGAGACGCTGCCCCAGTTCCGGGCGGAGGGTCGCGGGGGAAGCAGTGATGGTGTGAGTCGAGTGGCCCCAGCCTCCAGAGGCAGTCAGGAGGAAGAGGAGGATGAGGATGATCCCTTTACCTTCCATCGCGGCCTCGCCCCTGGGGGCCTGGGGACAGGGGCCTCACCCGCACTCAGTACTTTTGGGGGCTCCTTCTTTACAGACCCCTTCTTCCTGGTGGAGACGTTATGCATTGTGTGGTTCACATTTGAGCTCCTGGTTCGCTTCTCTGCCTGCCCCAGCAAGCCCGCCTTCTTCCGAAACATCATGAACATCATTGACTTGGTGGCCATCTTCCCCTACTTCATCACCCTGGGCACGGAGCTGGTGCAGCAACAAGAGCAGCAGTCAATGAGTGGAGGGGGTGGCCAGAACGGGCAGCAGGCCATGTCCCTGGCCATCCTCAGGGTGATCCGCCTGGTCCGGGTATTCCGCATCTTCAAGCTGTCCCGCCACTCCAAGGGGCTACAGATCCTGGGCAAGACCTTGCAGGCCTCCATGAGGGAGCTGGGGCTGCTCATCTTCTTCCTGTTCATTGGGGTCATCCTCTTCTCCAGCGCCGTCTACTTTGCTGAGGCTGATGATAGTGATTCGCTCTTTCCCAGCATCCCGGACGCTTTCTGGTGGGCGGTGGTGACCATGACCACTGTGGGGTACGGGGACATGTACCCCATGACCGTGGGGGGCAAGATTGTGGGCTCCCTGTGTGCCATCGCTGGGGTCCTCACCATTGCCCTACCTGTTCCCGTCATCGTCTCCAACTTCAACTACTTCTACCACCGGGAAACGGAGCAGGAGGAGCAGGGACAGTACACCCATGTCACTTGTGGGCAGCCCACACCTGACCTGAAGGCGACTGACAATGGACTTGGGAAACCAGACTTCTCGGAGGCGGCCCGGGAGCGGAGACCCAGCTACCTGCCCACTCCACATCGGGCATATGCAGAAAAGAGGATGCTCACTGAGGTTTGACCTGCATCCTGCAGGAGACCCACGTCCTGCAGGAGAAGGGGCATGTTGAGCAGACCATCTCTGAGGCTTCACTGTCATCTCCACAACTCTCCCCCTTGACTTCCACCCCTAGATCCTACTATACAAGGCATCCAGGACCAAATACCTGGACTGTCAACCTTGTTGCTTGATCCCTGCAGCATTCGAGGTTTATCCACCTGAGTGACGTTTTTGAAATTCCAATGGTGCCATCCAGTCATGTCCATCTTCTGTCACATGGATGAGATGTACATTTATGTCTGACCCCTAAAGACTCTGATTTCTCATTTCTGGGACTTGTAGTATCTCTAGGAAGAGCCATGTCAATAGAACAGAAGCCAGCCATACTCAGGTCCTGTCTCTCTCTGCAGTGTTGTTTGGTTTGAGGTGTGCACCTGTCTTACCTTCCAGTCAGTACCTGGTACCTCACAGCAGCTGGAGGATGGAAACAGTGTTCGACTTGCTGCTTTAGTCCAGTACTCTGTAACATCTGCTGATCATCCCACAGAAGATGCCTGGTAGAGCACTTAGCTGCACAGCTTCAACATATATTAGTCTTGGGTGGATCTACAGAAAAATACAATTAGACAGGACCATTTGCAAAACATGAGGGTCAGGCTTGGGCCTCTGGATTTTCCCAGGTATGAGCCAGCGTCAGCAGCAACCGGTGCTTGGCTGACACTTTGTCCTCTCCATGCTGTTCCCTGACTGTCTTTTGAGCTTCCAGGAGGGCTCCTTATCAGAGCCAAATACTCTTTTGTGCAAGTGCCTTCCTGTGCAGAGGGATTGGAAAAGGGAACCACAGAACTGGGAGAAACAGCAGCAAAGAGCTGAGCAACAGACCTGACCACAAACCTGAAGCCAGGGATCACTGAAACAGAAGCTGTCATCTTGGAGTGCAAGCAGAATAGGACTGCAGGCAGAGGCTTTTCCTCTCATTTCCCCTGATCCTCTTGAAACCCTCTCTCCTTTTGCTAGAGAGTCTGAGGTAGGGTTGCAGTTGAAGTCTCTGTAAAGTAACTCACCTTAAATCTGCAGAATCGCAAGTATACATTGGCTGCCAGCCTAGGCTTCTTCCCATTCCATGGGCAACAAGGTATGGGTTAGGGTTAGAAACAAGCAGCAGTCCTTTGCGACAGCCCCACTGTTCTTGCTGACGAGGTAGACATTTCCATCTCTGCCCTGGAGCTGTGTGTGGCTGCTCTGTCCGGTAAGGCAATGTGGTGGAGCACGTCCTTCCATGGTGCACCCCTTCCATCCATCCCACCCACCCACCCACACCCCCCTTCTCTCTCCTGGTAACGTGGCTGTTCTTTTTCTTTTGCCTTTCATAAACTGTTCTGTACCATTCAGATTACTCCTGGGTGCAGTTCTCAAACCGGAGGGACTGTTAATACATTTAGAATTTTCTAGCTATGCTTTAAGGCTCTTGGGTGATTTTTTTTTTAGAAAATTATTTTCTCAAAGAGCAATTTACAAGGTTCAGACTTTTGAAGGTCCTCTTGAGGGGCTTCTGTGAGTGCCAGATCCAAATCTGGATTTTGCTACAGCTTTACAGGGTAACTTTGGTGAGATAGTCCCTCTTTGTGCCTCAGTTTCCCTATTTACTGGGAACATCAATGTCTTTCCCTTCCTACCTCATGGGGAATATCAATGCACTCATCCGGGAAGCTGGGGAAGACACTATGCAAATATGTGAATTATAGTAATAAATTTAATTTTTAGTTTATCACCCCATCTGCCCATCTTCCAGAGACAAGCTTTCCCTCTAAAGTTTCTGCCTTGGATTGAGAGCCCAAGAAGTAGGCCATTGGTTTCCTAAGTCCCTCCTTGTTCCCTCAGGCTAGGCCACCATCTTTTCAGAATGGAGGGAGCTCTTTAGTAGATGTGGTAGACCTTTCAGAGATGGTTTGCCTTGCCTGGGAGGTTGATTCTCCAAACCTGGAATGCAGTAGGACACAGGTGTTTATGAATCAGAGGCCAGGAAGTTCTCTTTTCCCACATTGCTCCAGCCACTCTTGGCTCCTTGGAGAAGCAGGGCCCCCTGCAGTGGCTGGAGGCCTGCTCCCGCTGTGGGGAAGTGAGGGGCCCTGGATGCACACGTCTCCACACATGTGTGAGCATCCTCCTCACCATCCCTAAGCAAACATTGCCTTTTCAAGTCAGAGCATGCCTGAGAGTGAAAGGACTGTGGAAAGCCAGGCTCTCCAGGGACTGTGGTTGCCGTAGCAACCTTCCAGCCTGCTCTCTCTGTCTTCTGATTCGAGTATCAAGGGAGAACACACTACATCTCTCCAGCTTCTCCGATGAGAGTACTTCCCATCTATTGGCTTAAAGGCTGATAGAGCCAAGACAGGGGCACAGGAGCTTGGAAACTGTGGGGAAAGCTCATGCTCACTTTCCTGGGCCTTCTCAGCTTTCTTACCTACGCCTTGAGCTGCCTCATCTTGCCCCTGAGTGTTGGAAAACTTGAACAGCAAGCAATTGCCCAGTTGAATCAATGTCAATATTATGATTTTAAAATGACAAGGGAGTCTTTGGACAGGACAAGTTATTATTCCTCATTTGGCAGCCACACTGGGCCTTGCCAAGGATAATACTAGATTTAGGTATCTTGGAGTTCTCAGCTTCTCAGAAAGAGGCTCTACCAAGCTGTCAGAGAGACAGAGGAAAATGAAACTCCTTCCTCCCAGGTAGTAGTCTGGTTCCTAGAAAAAAAAAAATCTCTTAGGTGATTCTTCTTAAATCTCAGAAGGAAAACAGAGGTGGTGGCTCCACAGGACATCTGTGTAGGATTTTGTCCAGTAACCCTCAGTGGCCTGGGGCATCTCCATGCGGGTGTGAACATCAGGAGACTGTGCTCTGTTTTGCTGTGACTGCAGCAAGGGCATTTGCAGCTGCCAGGAAAGGTGACGCCCACGCTGTCTTCACACCTGACTCGAACCAGAGGGGCTTCCAGAGGACTTTCTGGGACTGCCAGTCTCGACCTGAGATCAAGGCCACCCCTCCCACCGAGCATCCCCAAGGAGCAAGGAGGGACAGCTGGCTGCTGGGTATCTGAGGTAGGTGCGACCTGGGGAGCTTTTCGTGGCTCCAGCCTACAGGTAGTGTTAGAGCTTGGGGTGGTGGAGAGTGTAGTGGGAAGCGCGGCTCCGCGGCCTCTGAGCGGCGCTGGGCCTGATGTCCACATCTCTGCATCTCTGCCTCTATCAGCTCCATCAACTTTTGTTCCTTTTTCTCTATTGTGTTTTCTCACAACTGCCCCAGTCTCTTGCCACTTCCTTTTCTGTGAATCTTCCCTTTCCTTCCTTTTATTCTTTCTTTGCCTTTTTTTTATTTTCCTTCATGGTTTCGGTCTCCTCTGTGACTTTAAACTTCTCTTTCTTTCTGTGCCTTTTTTTTGGGGGGGGGGCAGGTGGCGACAGCTATGGCATTTCTGTCGAGGTCGAACCTTGAGCTTTAGGACAGCTGTGATTCATGGTGTTAGCTGAGGTCAGCCTCCAGCCAGAGGATTCTCTTTCTGACATGCCAGGATATCAGCCTTTCCTCCCACGCTTGCTGTGAACATGTGAGGATGGGGTGGGGAAGAGAGGGAGGGAGGGAGGCAGGGAAGCTGTGGGGTAGCAGATAAATATGCTGCCGCATAGCCCTGGAGTATGTTCATCTCAGGGTCCCCTGAACTTGAGAGCTTTGCAGAGAGGTTGGAAATCAGAAAGCAATACTGAGAGGAGGGTAGTAAAGACTTAAGAGGAAGACATAAGAGGATGTGAGCCTGGACAAAGCCTTCACTCAGGCTGACTGGGCAGCTTGATCTTATCTGAGAGTCTGTGTAGCCTCTGCGGCTCTGGCTTCCTGGGCTCGGAAGGCAAAGCACAGGCACAAGTCACCATGCCTGGCGGTGTGCAGTGTAGGGGACACTGCCCAGTGAGGCGGGTGGGAACGCGGGCCCCTGACTGTCCCTGCTGGAGGCTGCAGCGGGCAGGGCTGAGTCTTACCTGCACTAGGACCTAAGATGGCCCTTGCTGCCCTCAGCGGCCTTCAACAGGGCTGCTGAAGTAACTCCAGAGAATTTAGGGGGATGGGAGGAATGTCCTAAAAGGGAGTAATGTTGGTAATCATAGAATTTTTAAAATTAACTAGGAATAGCACTTACTGGTAGCGGTGCAACACCAGTCAGGTGACATAGGCGAGTCAGCCTGGGCTGGGCGGAGGGCATGGCTCTGTAAATCAGGAAGGTTAGCACCACTGGAGGGCCAGGCTGGGTGTCTGGCAGTGGAGGACACAGCTTATTTCTTCTGCCGCAGGAAGACACTTCAGGGCTATGTGCCATTGGTTCTTGCTGGTTTTCCTATAATACCAAAAGCAGATTGTGTGCGCGCGTGTGTGTGTGTGTGTGTGTGTGTGTGTGTGAATTTTGACAATCAACCTCTGATGTGATTTACATGCTTTTCATTTCTCTAAAGATGTGCTAGCTAGGACATTTTTCTAGTAAATGGAGAACATACCTAGTGCACACTGAACTAGTGATCAGCGTGCTGGGCAGGAGCTTGCTTGAGGGATTTACACTTGGTTGGGCAAATAAATAGATACATGCCACCACCAGCAACCCAGAGCCCACCTAATCCCTGCATCTGTAAGCTTCGAGTTCCTTAAGAAATGGCATAGAAGCTGAGTTATTTTCCTCAGCCTGCACCGCACATTCCTCCCTGTGGTGTCATTAACCCTTCACTGCCTCGTGCTGAGAATCCAGCAGTCCTGAGTGCTTTGGACACAGCAGAGAAGAGGGATGTGGCAGTGTGCCTGCATCCCACCTGGATCCTGCCTTTTCCTCAGATCTGCCAGCCTTGTTCCTGCTCTGCTTTCCCTGTGCCTGCAGCCCTCATCCTCTTCTCCCTTGGTGAGCTGCTCAGGTGGCATCTTCTGCTCCTCCGCACTGGCTGAGCCCTCACTCTGGATGGCATTTCTGTTGCCCTGCATCACTACATAAATGCCAAGATAGATTCCTGGAGAGTGTCACCCCCAGGGCAATCTGGCTGGAAGTGCCATTTGGCTGTGATTGGTTT